AAATGCTCGAAAATTCAGTGAATTTGTAATCATGGAGATAATCGATGCGATAAAGCAAATAACACAGGGGAAGAAACAAACGAAGAGGAGAGATATGCTGGACTAAACAACAAGAAAATGCTTCAGTATCTTTGACCATACAGATTTTGGAAACAGAACTACGTCTCATTTGCTTAAATTTTCTAAATTCTTTCCCGGCATAGGAGAAAACTCACAGTCAAAAGTGCATTTCTATATGAAGGGGATTCGGTTAGAATCACAGGCGGATTCAGAGCAGGGGCGCTCCTGGATCCTCCCCTTCCCCTCCGCCCTACCCCGCCTACGGTACAGACACTAGTGCCGCAAAAGCCTGGGTCTGTCCATAAATAAAACTAAAGTAATTTTAAATAGCAGCATTACAGCTCTAATTCTAGTTTTTGCATAGTTCTAGGAGGGGACGTTCCCCCAACCCCGTTGTCCCTTGCCCTCCTACCCCACCCAGGAAGCTGTCCTGGATCAGCTTATGGCTAGAATGAAGCGAACCCTGAACAGGCAACTCAACATCTACAACGCCGCAGCAGAGGGAGAATCGGTCTGTTGGGAAAATCAGTCCAGTCAAAATGTGAAGGAAACGAAAGACCCACTTACTGGTGTTACTCGCCTGCCTATGAAAAGATCATTGGAGCGTCGCTATTCAGTACTTACCAGTGTTAACAGCAGTACGACAAACCGGACAGCCAATTCCCCGGCAATTACATCCGTAATTATGGGATACTGGTGCTGCTGCTGCTCTTGCAACACGCTTATTTCGAACCTACTTGTTTATGGATACACGTCAGCGAAACAGTGCTACCCGCTCAGGCATAATCATTACACAATACACACTGCACCAAACTGTACAATACAGCGCGCCGCAGAGCTTAACGGCCCGTGACACTGTATCATATCATATCATTCACGCCACACTACACCATAATATGCAATTTTTGTCTGCCAGCAGCATGGCCAAAAAAGGTTCAGTTTGTATGGAACAGACAGAATACATTGCGCCCTTCAAGTAGCCCTACACTGCAACAATTGCTGTCTCTTTGAGAAACTGCTAAAAAACTCTACCGAAATTTTTTTTTCGCAGTATCTTATTTAGTTTAGCAGATTTCCCAAAAACAGTTTCAAAGAGATTTCACGAAATCACTTCCTATAGCCAGAAATGTGTGTCCACTGTG